GGGGCTGTCTGTCCCACCTCCCTCAGGCACCCACTGAGTGCTCTCACTGTGGTTGATTCTGCACTTCTACACAAAAGGAATCACTGAACAGGGGACCTCCTGTTGCTGGTGTAGCCCACTTTGCATCATATTTTGGAAGCTCATCCATGTTGTGGCAGGTATGAGAGCTTTGTTCTTTTTCATGGCTATATACTATTCTGCCGTGTGGCTGTATCAGTGAATTTGGTGGGTAGTTTGGAGTGTTTCCCATGGTACTTCCATGAACATTCTTGGGCAAATAGTCACTTACTTTTAATTGCCTGGGGTGTGTACCTAGCAGTGGAGTTGCCAATCACAGGGCAGCTCTGTTTAACCTTTTGAGGAAGGGCTGAATTCTTTCAGATGTTGAAAGATACCTCATGTGTGCACCATCCTGTGACAGGTGTCACCTTCACCTGCCCCTCTTCCGAGCCCCAACACTCTGCACCGCTTGCTGGCACCTGTTTTATTCTGCTCTCTTGGCACCATCAGCCCACCCTTTTGTAGAGGGCGAGGCGGATTTCACAAGCAGTCAGCAAACAGGGTGCCTCAGTTGCTTTCCTGTTGCAGAGACACAAACCCGACGCCTGCTGCTCACAGGGGCGAGGCTGACGTGGGCTCAGGGCCGGCTCCGAGGCAGGAGCTCAAAGGGCCGGGCAGAGGAAAAGGTGCTCAACCCGAGAGAGCCAAGAAGCAGGAGGGAAGAGAGGAGGCAGGGCGAGGATACGGCACCCCGCAGGTCACCTGTGGCCTCTCCAGCCGGCCCCACGGCCTGGCAGCACATTCAGTGAGCTCATTACAGATGAACCCCAACCCCGTGACCCAAGCGCCCTCCACGCCTGTGAGGCTTTGGGGGACATTTCACCTCTGAACCTCAGCACAGGGCCACGTGGAGACAGAGCAGGGCTGTGGGTCACTTGAAAGTCTTTGGAGGACATAATGGGTTCGCTGTAGCCCAGATGCAAACTGGCGTTGTGCACACAGCTTTGTGGTCATCCTGACCTCCGAAGGGCTGTTCCGAGCGGCTCGTCCTGACTGTCAGCCTGCACTGACCACGGGCAGGGCGGGGCTCCTTCTGATGGCTTTTCTCTCCCTAGCCGGGAGGACTGCCGGCTCTCCCCTAAGGGCCTCCAGATCACACATGTAGGCCAGGCCGTTTGCGCTGCTTCCGGAAAGGGATCCCCAGAGCGTGCTCAGTCGTGGGATTAGCAGGGAGTCATGGGGTCTGAGCACACGGACGGCATCTTTACATCTGTTTTCTTTGTTCTTTCTACAAAGCTTCCTGTGCCACTGGCCGGAACTGACCGTGCTCCTTGAAATCTGGGATTGCTGTAGGGTAATTATGTAAAGTCCTTCTATCGGCCTAAATCATGAAACAACCTTTTTTTTAACCCAGGGCCTCGCAATCCTAGACACCCGTTCTACCACTGAGCTGTGCCCCGGGGCCCACAAGACACAGACTTATCTGGACAGTGTGGTATCTACCCCAAAATAATTACGAGCGTGTCATTTTCCTTCAAAGGTCTGGGTGAGTGGAGGGTTCAAAACTGGCCTTCCTGGGGAATCCCACCTTCTGTTTTGATCAGGAAAGCCGCAGCATCAGGGCTGAGGATAGCCCTCTTGCTCTGGAGGTCAGACCAGGGGCTTCCCCTCACCTCCCGCCCTTGCCCTGGGGCTGCCCTCAGGGCCCCTGCTCACACTGGTGCCCACTGCCTGGGTTTCAGCCTTGGCTCCATTCTTCACTCTGCGACCTCAGCGAGGCCACCCTCTAGGCTCTGTCCCCCGACCTTATAAACTCAGTGATGGTGTTACCGCGTCCTCACTTTGGAAACTCAGACAAGGGGACAACACCCATGAAAACCCCGGGCTCCAGAAGACTCTTGGTTTGCACTGTCTGAGAGGGTCCATTGTTCTTGTTGTTGTTGGGTTTTGTGGTGGGGGTGGGGTGTGCTTAGCATTGAACCCAGGGCCTTTGCACTGACCTACATCTCTAGCTCAGTATGGAGAGCCCTTCCCAGTCCTCATCTCCATCAGGGAATTTTATATATAAATGCCCATGGGAAAGTCATTAGAATTCCAACCTATCACGTCTAGTGCCACCAATGTGGAGAATAAGGACACCAAGACATATTTATGGTTTTAGGGAGCCAAAAGAGTCCCAAATCCAGCCTAGATGGTGGCTCACTAGAACAAAGGCCAGGCCCAGAGCCCAGTTTGGATTTCATTAACTCAGGGAGAGAGTGGCTTTGAGGACGGGGACAGTGAGATTGGTGAGAAGGAGTCCGCTGGGCCTGCAGCCTGAGATCCTGTAGGTCAGCTTTCTGAAACTGACAGAGCACCTACATCATCCACTAAGAAGGAGAAAGGCTTCTTCTGGCTCACAGCGCCAGAGGGTTCAGTCTGTGGTCACTGGACCCCACTGATTTCCAGTCTGTGGTGAGGTCGAGCATCGCCAGGGAGCACATGGCAAGCGAGCTGCTCACCTCATGGCCAGCAGGGAGAAACAGGAAGAGGCTGGGGCCCAGTCTCCTCTCATGGATGCACCCTGCAGTGACCTAACTCCCTGTCACCAAGCCCACTCCCACAGCTCACCACCTCCCCGTCACTCCACAGGCTGGTGGCCGAGCCTTTGATACGTGGGCCTTCAGGGGACACTTACTCAAACCATGCAGGGCTCCAGACACCACCAGGAATGGGTGGGGGACAAGGGACAAGGTCTCAGGCCCCAGCTACTCCCCACAGGCAAAGGAGGAAAGCTGTCCCCCACAGTGTGAGGTGTTTCCAAGCTCCAGCAGGGGGGCTGGCCTGAGTATCCAGCTGCCCTGGGGCCCCCTTAAAGCCAGGCCAGGTCACCACAGCAGGAGGAAGCGAGGTGGGTCCGCTTGCCCATGCTGGGTTCCCTGTACTCCACCCACACCAGGATGGACCTCCCACACCTGAGTGTCCCCTGGCTGCAGGGGCTGGTGCACAGCCCTGGCTTCCTCTGCAGGGAGACCACCTCCCGGCCTCCGCTGAGGACTCAGGCTAGAAACTTCCACCAAGGTGGAAGGACATGCAGGCAACTGTGGGAGCCTCAGCCTAGGGAAGCTGGGGTGCATTTCGTACGAGGGGTGATTGTTGGGACATCCTAACGGTTGTGGGACGTGATGAGGGACGACGTGTGGGGATCAGGGAGGGGAGCAGCGGAGAGGACTTGGTTCACACACAGGGTGTGAGTGCTGTGTCCGGAGCTGCAGTCTCATCACAAGAGCCAACAAAGCCCAAGCCCACACCGGAAGCAGTGCTGACCTGCATCAGGTTTTTAAAACGAGCCAACCATGGAAAATAAGGGATATTTCACATAAAACCCCCCGTTTCTGACTTCTCCTGAAAAACCGAAAGATCTGGGAAGCAGTTGTGACCGTAGCTGCACTTCTGTCTGTGACCCGGGTTCCGCTTGGAGGAATTAGCCACCCTTCGGGGGTGTGTTCTGCAATTAGGCCTGCCGTGCTCCATGTTTATTGAACATGTGCGGCATTTTTCCATGGTGACTTCTTGTTCCCGAAACAATACAGTATGACAACTACTTGCACACTGTGTGTTTGCATTAGATGGCTTAGGTAACACAGAGGCTGAGCAGCTGTCCTCCTCTGTGTGCGATTCTGTGCGGGTTGTGTAAAAGGCACTTGACATCAGAGGGTTTGGTACAGGGCGTCAGCTCCAGTGGGACACAGACAACAACTGTGCTTAGAAGCTGCCTGTACGTGAGATACATTGTCCCCAGTGTGTCCTGTGCCCTCCTCCTGTCTCTCCAGCCCTGAAACTCAGTGCCAGTCTCCATGTCCCATGGGTCTTACTCTTTGCTCCTAGAACCCCTTCTCCACCAGCAGGATGCCTTGTGACTTTTCACCTGATGTGTCAGCCTCTTTTATGGGCTCCTCTCTGCTGCAGTGTGTTTGAAGCTCTGCCAGTGAGGTAGTGGAGGAATTTGTCCCCGTGTTCACCATTGTAGAAAACAGAATCCCCTGGGCTAATTTAAGCCCCAAGGGCAGGATGTTGTTAAGGGTTATCAGCCTGCGGAAGACCGGCGCCCAGAGCGGCTCCCCCGCAGCACTCTGCCCAGTGCTGACAGCTGTCCTGGGGGCCGAGTGCATGTGCCAGGTCCCACCTTTGTCCCCGTGGCTCTGCTATGCCAGGTGTCTGGTGAGGGGAGTGCAAATCCTGTGTTTATCCTGATAGCAAGAGGGCAGGGGGACTTGCAGCCCGGGTCGGGTGCTGGGGTTTACAGACGTGGAGGGACAGTTGCAAATTTGGGAGTGGTGTCTGGAGGTCGACAGCAGCGCCCTAGCCCCCCACCCACCGTGCACCCTGGGGAGGTCCTGGAGCAGGAACCTTGCCCACTGGGCAGCCCCTGTTCCCTGTGAAAGGCACCCCACCAAGAGCAGACACCCCAGCCCGAGCCCTGGGGGGCCCTCGCAGCCTCCTGGCAGCTGTGTCGTTGTCCTGGCTTCGCTTAGCTTCTGTGGGCCTCATTCTGGCCTGGGCCTGCCAGCTGCCCGCCCAGGCTGCCAGGCGGGCGGCTGCTTCGCTATTTCAGAACTCTCCGTGCTCCTCGGGAGTTCAGAGGAAGCCTCTGCCGACTGGCAGCTGATAGCAGCTGCAATTAAGAGGTGAAAAGCCAAGCAGGTGCCCAGCTCGGCCTCAAATGGAGGCGCGCTGTAAGTCAGTGCCTGTGGCCCTGGCTGCCCCACTTCCTGTCCTCAGGGCCCCCCGCCAAGGCCCTGCCTGCCCTGGCCCTGGGGACCCTGGGGACCCTAGGGACTGTGTGCAGAGCCCCGAGGTCACATGCCGAGTGCAGCCCCGTGTTCCCACAAGCCGCATGACAACTAAGGAAGGCGGGTGCCAGCCAGTGCTGAGTTACAGATGGGGAAACTGAGCCAGCCCCGGGACATGAAGTGACACGCAGGGCCGCATAGCCAGAGCACGGCCAAGCTGAAACTCACCCACATCTATGAGGCCTCAAATGTGTGCCTCCGTTTCTCCACTTCCTATCTGGCTGGCAGGCTCCACAACCATCTGTGCAGATCACAGCATTTCTCCTTCTAGAAAGTTCCTTGGTAAGCCAGGCGTGGCGGCTCAGCTTGGCACGGGAGCTGGGGAAGGCGGGCACTGTGAGCTGAGGCCAGGCGTGGCCGCATGACAAGGCCTTTTCTCAAAAAACAAAACTGAAATTTCTTTTGTCACAGAGCCACGCCCAAGCTTCAAGGCCATGCCCAGGCCCGGGTGAGGACACAGCAGGAAACACAGGGTGACGTCCAGGGCAGTGCCCAGGCCTGCTGACAGCCCTCTGCCTCTTAATTTAGATAACAAATGCTGGGTGCCAGCCTCCGGCAAGCAAAGCAGACAAGACCCATCCCGTCGAGGCATTCCAGCAGCATGAAGACACTGGATGGGAGGACCATGGGAGGGACAAAGCTATGGGGGAGCCGGTTAGGGATGCCTCCCCAACAGCAGTGTCCAGAGTCCAAGCTGAGAGCCTCCCCCAGCTTGGAAAGTCGGGGGAGAGAACAGCACTGGACATAAAGAAGGTTCGGGGGCGGGAAGATTTGAAGGCCATTGGAGATATGGCCGGACGGGCCACAAGGCCTTGACAAGGTGGTGGGATCTCCATAGAGAGCAGGCAGGACCGCACGTTCCACAGCAAGCACCCAGGCAGGAGGAAACAGCAGGAATACTGTGCACTGCTGGAGTGGCAGGATGTCTTGGCCTCTCCCGCAGGGAGGGCAGCAGGACAGGTGCCCAGGGGTCCCGCAGAAGCCTGGGAGAGCCGCCTGCCCCACCCAAACACCCTCCCTCCCGGAAGCCGCAGCCAAGGGCAGCTACTCAGTCCTTTCCTCTGGAACTCTTCCCTGGCAGCTCCTTGATCACACAGGCCAAGGGCCCGGTAGTGCAAGCTGGAGAGCAGGTCACCCCATGTCCAGAGCAGGGGCTGAGGTGGCCTGCAAGGCCCAGGGTCAGCTGTGACTCAAACTCAGAGGAGGCCTTGGGCGTGGGAGGAGCCTTCTGGACTTCTGCTGGCTCTGCTCTGGCTGGTGACAGGGAAGTCAGCCGTGGTGGTGGAGGGTGACCGGTGGGGGGGCTCGTAAACCCATCTGCTCCATCTGATCGGCACAGAGGAGTTGTCTCAGGAATGGAAGCCGACTCTGGTGGATTCGCTGGGCAGATGTACCAGATTTCCATCTCGGGCCGGCGTCCACAGAAGAAATCAGATACAGTGGTTTTCACCTGGGGATAGATTTGTTTGGCAAAATTTGGAAAGCAGTGCGGTGTGAACTTTCAGGTAGGATGGGGTTGTGGGGAGGGGCTGTGAGAAAACAAAACAAAAAAAGCAGCTGAGTCTCGCAGCCTAGACTCAGCGCCAGAGCAGACTTCACGCCTGAGGAAGGCGCTGAGCGCTCAGAGCTGCCTGCGCGGTTTGGGAAGCCAAAAGTCTAAAGTCAACCCAAAGGCCAGAGCCACCAGGGCAGCCGTGCCCCCGCCACGCCCTTCTGTGTTCACCGTCCTTAAACTGTCACCCGATGGTACGACCAGGACCTTAAACATCACCGAAAGGCCCACATGTTTAAGGGTCGGTCCTGAACCCCGGTGCCCTGGGAGGGGCGGGGCCTGCAGGAGGCGTGGCCTGTGGCGGAAGTGAGGTCACTGGGGCGTGGCCTTGAGGGGGCTGTGGCCCTGGCCTCTAGCTGGCTCTTCCCTGAGCTTTTTGGGCCGCATGCGGTGAGCTGCTTATTCCACCCCTCAGGCCTTGTCTGATGGCCTCACCACGAGCCCAAAAGCGATGTGACAGCTACAGGGACTGAATCCCCTGAAACTTCTTGCCACTGTTCAGCCCCATTTCCGGCACAGGTTTCTTAGGAGGACCCGTCCCCTCCAGGCTGAATGGCGTCCACCTCTCCTGAGTCCCCGGGGGTCTGTAAGATGGGAGGGAGCTGGGCTCGCCATGCTCCCATCCCAGCCCCCCAGAGGGTAGGTAGGAGGGGGGCTTCGACGGTTACCCCTGAATACCCTGCACCTCCTGGATGGCTCAACTCCGAGGTGTTTCCTGGAAATCTCCGAAGCCCTGTGTCTTAGTCCTCGGGATGAAACCTGCTGTTTCGTCTCTCCCAGTCCTCCAGCATCTGGCACCCACCCAGAGCTCATTGTCTGGCGTGGAGACTGAATTGAGACAGCTCAGTTGGTTGGTGTTTTGTAATACTTTAATTTAGCAAGTGCTACATAAAAGGGGAGACTCCCTAGAGACTAGGATGTGAGATCCTTTCTGAGATACAGTTTGGGAGAAAATGGGACTTTTAGGCATTTTCATTGTCATCATCTAACAACTACTGCTCCATGGTAATTAACATACCCTCTTCTCAGATGGGGAAAGTGAGGTCGGTGGTCGTTGATAATTTTGAACCTGGGCTTCCCTATTCCATCTTGCTCCTGGGCCGGGAGGTGGCCATCAGCTTTAGTTTAGCTCTTCAGGAGGGAGTGGGATGGCTGGATTCCCAGAGGTCCTGTGCGAGGGGCGGGGGGAGAGGTTAAATGGGCCAGTGGCTGTGGGAGAGGGGTGGCCCATGTGGAGATTAAAGGCAGGAAGAGTGAAGCAAGGCCTTTTGACAGTGAGACAGAGCTCACAGACAGGACTTGTAACTCATCCGGAGTGTGTGGGAGAGGGAGGCATGATGGGTGACCCCCGCACTGTGATGGGCAGGCATCTCGGGTCAGGTGGGCTCCCTCTGGGGCCCAGAGCACAGGCCCCAGCAGAGCCAGGAACGTGCGGTGCTGACGCGGTCCTGACTCAGCCTGAGCCTGAGCCAGGACCAGGGTGCCCTGAGTCACAGTGGGGCCTCCTGTAGGGGACCAGCCCCTGTACGCTGTAGCACAGGGCTGCACCTGGAGCGTCTGGGGAGCACAAAAACCCCTGACCCTGCACTATCAGACCAGACCCCGCTCCCAGCAGCCTACAGAGTGGGGCCAGAGAGAGGCCAGCACCGCCTGGGGGCCACCTCTGTGCACCCACAAGGACCCCGAGCACCCATCTCCTTCCCAGAGTGCCCGCCCACTCTGGGCTGGGACTGGCTTTTTGAACCTTACTCTAGGCTCCTGGGGAGCTACTGGGGGCCGAGACCCTGGAGTGCTCGTTTGTCTTCTCTTTAACACGAGTGGGCAGTGAATCACACTCAGGGCGGCTTACAGAGTAGAGAGCTGTGCTCCTGCAGGTGGCCCCGGAGGCTGGGACAGCCCTGTGCAGAGCGGGTCATTGGTACCTCTTCCTTAGATGGACGGATGGATGTGCAAAAAGATGAGCAAAGAAGGATGTTTGATGGATGCATGGATGGATAGATGGATGGGTGGGTGGGTGGATGTGTGGGTGGGTAGATGGGAGGACCAGTGTGTGGATGGCTGTGCGGTTGCCCACATAAAGGACATTCATCCTGGAATGCGCACCGGCCAGGTTTCTATGTCGGGGAGGATGGACCCGTGAGCAGGGGGAGGGCAGGAGCAGGCCTGGGGTGAGGGGAAGTGGAAGGCAGGAGGGCCGAGCAATGGGCCTCACAGAGGACATGGGGAAGACAGTCAGAGAAGCTGCATGCCCACACCCTGCCCCGCATGCACACACCCCTCCCCTTCACGCACACCCCTCCACTCCACAGTTCACCCCTGCCAAATTCATACCCCACCCCGCGCTCACAGCCTCCGCTAAGCCTGTCAGGTCTGCGGGGCTGCAGGAGTTTTTCCCATGGCCCCTGTGAACCAGGACTGGGAGAACAACCCACAGGCACTCTCTTTTTTTCTAGTAAAAAAAGTCTTTACAAATAAACTTTGTGTCGACTTCTAATTACGTTTGGAGAGAGCGCTGGCTGTGTTCGTGAGGGTGAGTTATGATCCTTGGCTTGGAGCTGTGTTTAGGGACATTCAGCAGCGCGCGTTCCCCCAGCCGGTGCTCGAATGCGTGGGTGACGAGAACCATATGCTGGCCAGGCGTGTTGGGCAGGCTGGCCTGGCGCACATGTGTGTCCTGCGGATGGATATGTGGCGAGTGCTGCAGGAGGAAACCTCTCCTGAGACCGGGGTCGATGAAGTACTCCCCCTGCTCGTAAATCCTTGGGAAAAACCCAGGCCTGTCTCCCTTACACATGCAGCTAATTATCGGGGGTCTTCAGGCTCTCCCTGGGAGTGAAGGCAGTTTACTGGGGCTCGATCCACTTAAGTGGTTTCCAGCACTGGGGTGACCTGGCGGCCTCCCCCGCTTGGACAGCAGACAGCGGGGGCAGCACAGGTGCTGCACAGCAGAAGGTGCCACGGTCACTCTGCCTTCCCCGGTGTCCAGCAAAGTCTCAACCCAGATACACGCTGCTCGGGGACAGCGTGGAATCCAGAGCCGCTGCATGGCCGCTAGGCCTATCCCTGTGGTCCAGCTTGGCTGGGTTAACCCGAGGACTCAGGGGAACAAGAGGAACCCACCCAGGCTGCTGCCTTGTGAAGCTTAGGATGGGCAGACAGCTCCACAGCCAGGCGCTGAGGACGAATAGTAAGTGAATGTCCCCAACCCAAGGGTGAGGGCCGGGAAGCCTCGGGCAGGATTCCGTGTCTGAGTTGAGCTGTGAAGGACCAGTCGGGGTTTTCCTGGCAAACAGAGGCAGGGAATGTCATAGGAGATCTGTGCATAAAACAGCTCACAGGGCTTGTGCACCCAGGCCAGGTTTCCGTCTGTGAGCCGTGAAAGGCAAGTCAGGTGGGTGGAGCTCCTGGCCAGGGTGCCCCGTGTTCCAGGACACCAGGAGAACCTGTGGACACCGCCACAGGGAGGGGTACGGTCAGAGCTGTGACCTAGAGGACTCTGGGGTAAGAGTGAGAGGAAGGAGGGGAGGCAAGGGAGAGACAGGAGGGCGGGAAGGAAGCCGTCACCCAGGACGGTGGAGAGATGCTGGTGCTGGACCTGGGGGCAGAGACGTGAACTGAACTCTGGGGCTTTCTCCTCCTGGTTATGTGACTTGAGCATGTTACTTCTTTCCTTACTGCCAGGATTGTTGATGCACATAAGACACTAGGACAAGGTCAACATGTGGTGGATAGTGTGGAGTGGCAGCTTTGTCACTTGGTATTTGGAGCTGGTGGTTTGGAGTCATGGACAGGATGGATCCACCCAGATCTCTG